CCAGTTGGGTGGGATGAGCTTTGAAATGCTGATCATTCGTGAGTGCTCATTCCTTGAAAGCCTTGAAGGAGAGAAGCAGGTTGAAGTCAACATCCAGGTCAAATCCCAGCTTAGGTGGTGGCAGCTCCCACGTCCAATTGTCCTCCTGCCCTTCCAGTCACACTTGTCATTGCTCCATGACAAACTTCAGGCAGTGATTGCCCAAACCTGGCTGTCAGGCACAGCTGGGAAGGCTGGCAGGCAGTTAAGGGTTAAAGATGAAAACCATGGCAAACCAGGCAGTCAGGGCTGAGCTCTCCTGCACCCAGAGTGTCCCAGCAAGGCCCTTGCAGGTTCAGCCTCACCATCTGCAGCTCCTCCAAGGTTCTGGGGACTGCATGACAGGAGTGGATAAAAAAAGCAGAGAACAGCCAGACACTATTATTTATCCATTCACTGTCTAAACTTATTTCAGGATCAAAAGGAGCTGATTGACAAGAGAGCAGGAGGCAGAGCTCATGGAAACCTCCTGGTCCCAGGGGAACCTGCTGCAGCTGCTCTCTGGGGCAGGGCTGTAGCAAATGCCTTTCTCTCCTTGTCACTCATGACATTCCCTTCTTTTAGCAGTTATTACATTTGTCAGGTATTTTATTTTTTAGGTATTATATTTTTCAGGTATTGTATTTTTCAGATATGATATTTTTCCAGGTATTTTATTTTTCAGGTATCATATTTTTCAGATATATTTTTCAGGTATTATATTTGTCAGGTATTGTATTTTTCAGGTATGATATTTTACAGGTATTTTATTTTTCAAGTATTTTATTTTTCAGGTATTTTGTTTCTCAGGTATTACATTTTTCAGATATGATATTTTTCAGGTATTTTGTTCCTCAGATTGTTTTTTTTTTCTCAGGTATTATATTTTTCAGATATTATATTTTTTCAGGTATTTTATTTCTCAGATATTTTATTTCTCAGGTATTGTATTTTTCAGATATGATATTTTTTCAGGTATTTTATTTTTCAGGTATCATATTTTTCAGATATATTTTTCAGGTATTATATTTGTCAGGTATTGTATTTTTCAGATATGATATTTTTCAGGTATTTTATTTTTTCAGGATTTTGTTGCTCAGGTATCCTATTTTTTCAGGTATTCTATTCTGCATCAGTGTCCTCTTGCAGATGTGGTACTTTCATGCAACATTGCTATTCCTGCAAGTGCTCCTCTGTCAGTGCTGCACCTCTGGGGCTGTTGTAGAGGAAAAGGGGGGGAAAAAAAGACCAAGGCAGAGACAGGAGAGCAAGACCTCAGCAGAGACTGCAGAGACACAGCAGTGTGCTTGTGTGCTGGAATATTTAATGTCAGGCATGCTAGGAGCTGATGATTGATAAAATGACATAGACTTCGAGGAACTGGAACTTTCTGTTTTATTTCCTTCTTTCTGAAATACATCAGCATGCAAAGACTCCTTGCTCTGCTTTCCAGTCCTTCCCTTGCTCTCACGCAGGCCCTCTGAATTTTACAGGCACCAAGGGGGACACAGCTTTTGGGAAATGTTGCTGTGTCCCAGATTTCAGGAAGGGGAGCTGCTCTACCTTCACCATATTTACCTATCACCATATTTACCTGTCCGGGGTGGATAATAGCAGGTAGATAACAGCAGGACAGGTGCCCTGCTCCTTTGGCATTCTGCTCTGGGGCTGATGTCACAACGTTGCCCCAGGCTTGGACCCACAATGTGCAGTGTCACTTGGATGAGAGGCCCTTTCTTTGTCTGCCCTAGCAGTGCAAAGCCCTGATCTCCCCCTAAAATTGCTTGAAGGGAGAAGTGTCAGGAGGAGCTGGAATAATGCAGCTATTTCTGGGGCTGACAGCAGGAGGGAGCATGGCTGAGATGGGATGGATCCATTTTTATGCTGATAGCAGGCTGCTGATAAAAAAAAAACCCAAATGGAGGAGCTTTGAGGAAGGCAGAGAAGAGAGGTTTAGGCTGTACTTTGGGCTTGTCTGGCCTTTCATTTTCCCTCTGAGGATCTGGGCAGTCAGACATCTCCTCTGACTGACACACAGACAGAAATAGGATTGTTTGGTGCTGTTCAATACCCAGGCCCACTTCTTAGGGCTTGAGGTTTCAAAGGGAGCTGGAAAATATCTAAGTTATTAGCAGAAAGAAGGGGAGCAGGAAGAAGTTTAGGACATGCAAGGGAGATGCTGGGCAGTGTTACATTGCTATAGATCTGTAGCACAGATAGCAGATAGATATATACAGCATATAGAGAGCATATAAATAGCTTGTAATATATAAATTAATATATAATATAAATAATATAGAAATATCATATATACAATATGTGTATTATATATAATATATTCATATGTGTATTTATATTTTATATGCGTATTATATATATATGTTATATATAATATAGCATATAATATATCTCTTATATAGAGCACATTGTTAGCATATACAGCATATAGAAGGAACTCTCTGAACAGCCTGTTTGAGAAAATGTCAGGATTTTCCACAGGGATCTGGACAAGCTTGAGAAATGAGCTCATGGAAATCTCATGAGGCGTAGCAAGACCAAGTGCAGGGTGCTGCACCTGGATTAACCCCAAAATCAGTCCATATCTAAGTTATTAGCAGAAACAAGGGGAGCAGGAAGAAGTTTAGGACATGCAAGGGAGATGCAGGGCAGTGTTGCATTTCTATAGATCTGTAGCACACATATAATATAGATATATATATATATACAGCATATAGACAGCATATAAATAGCATACATATTGTATCTAGCATATAGTTAGCATATACAGCATATAGAAGGAACTGTCTAATAGCCTGTTTGAGAAAATGTTAGAATTTTCCACAGGGGTCTGGACAAGCTTGAGAAATGAGCCCATGGAAAACTCACGAGGTTTAACAAGACCAAGTGCAAGGTGCTGCATTTGGATTAACCCCAAAATCAATTCAGGATGGAGGATGAACAGATCAAGAGCAGCTCTGCCCAGAAGAACTTGAGGATGGTGGTGGAGGAGAGGTTGGACATGCCTTGTCCTTGCTCCCTTCATCCTTCCAAGGAGTCTGACCTCGCCAGACTCATCCCCAGTTCCATCAATATTTTTAGACAGCTGCTTGGAAGTAGCCAAGAGCTTTCCAGTCATGAACTACAAAAACCTGGATGCTATTGCAAAAGACTAGAAAGAGTTAGAAGTACATTACTGGAAAAAAAAAAAAAAGGAGAATCTAAGTTTATCCTGAGGAGAAAGGGGATGTGTGAAGCCTTTAGCTGCATCAACTCCCCTGGTGCTGTTCGGGGAAAGGAAATAAAAAACAATGGCTGTGTCCATAAATAGGCCCAGGCAGGGGTTTAACACAGATTGCCTAATAAATCTTTCCATATTTCTAATCTGCCCTGGCTGACTCAGATTGCATTACTGAAATGTCACAATTGCTGAGCATTAGCAAGTGATAAGCACACTTTTACCAGTGACTAGACAAGCTGTAATTAGGCCAAGTCCTTTCCCTCTCCCCTTTACTGGAGCTGTAACAGACTCTCTGAGAGCTTTCTTCTGTTTAAATAAGAACTAAAAATGGCACAAGGCAATAAAGCAAAATGACAGAAAACATAGGGAACAAGTCCACATCAGCCATGTTTTATTGAAGGCTTTCTTAGTGGCAGATAAGGCCTTATAAAATGTGGCATTAAGATGACCTGAACCTTGATAATTCCATGAGTAATTTTCCAAAGGGTGGGTGATCCAGTCCCAAGGAAAGCTTTTTGCCACCTTAGCAAAGGAAAACATTTTTTCAGAGTTACATCAAGTCATGTTTGGCTTTGTGGCAGCTCACAGGAGCCTGGCTCATCAATGGTGTAAGCTGTGGATGCATCCTGGGATGGCAGAGCTTGGGAGAAATATCAAATTGTCTTTGGTAGGCTGGGGTACGTGGAAGGATGTCTGAGAATGGAACAGCTCCCTGCCTTCTCTTGATGCCTCAGGTTTTAGCTTTTTTATATTTTTCAGATTCTGTGCTGCTTTAGTGTATGGGTCTGGGCTTCCTATGAGGAGATGGTGAGCTCTGTGCACAGAGCAGGGAGACAAAACAATTCCTGCTCTAGCTGGGGACCAAGGACAAATGATCCAAATCTCAGCGCCAAGAGCACAAACACCGTGGGCTGAAGAGAGCAAAACAAGAAGGATGGGATTTCATGGGCTGGAGCTGTAATTAAACAATTAACTACAATATGCAAATGGACCAGAACTTATAAAAATGTGAGATCTCATGACCAAGCCCTCTTTTGCTTCCATCTTGGAGCCATCCAGAGCCATGGCTCCAATACTGCCAAAGTGTGGCCTTTGAAGGCTCTTCAATAAAAATCCATTTTATTTCTGCCCAACCTCTGCTCCAGCTCCTCAAGGCATCACTTTTATCACCAGCCAGGGGCTCTGTACAAATCACAAACAGGAGGGGAGTGCTGGGAACGTGCCTTGAGCTGTTTGATTTTCCAGCATCAGTCTCATTCCATGGTTATGACAATGGGAAGATGCCACCAGCTCACATCCCAGGCAGCAGACTGAGAACAATGTTACAACTTCCTTTCAAAGTTTTTTGACCAATCACACAAAGCAAAAGCACATTGACAGTAGTTCCATCCAACCATTATAATAAGCACAGGTACCTTTGGTTAAACAATGCTTGCTTATTTTGAATGCAATACCTGCTTGCAAGCAGGTAAAACGCAATGCACAGAGCTTCATTATTAAGGTTAGAACTTCCTAATATCTTGCTAGATAAACTTTTCTGCAGCTTAAACAAGCATTAATATACAGACCATTGTTCTATTTTGTCCTTACTTTTCTACTTCCTACATAATTTTTCTGCTGACCAATCTCATGACTGCTGCATAGCTCTAATCACAGTTCTGCTGTCTCTGAGGCCTGCCTTTTGCAGCCTTCCCAAACCCTCTGGTTTTATGGATTCCCTCTCCTGCCTGTGTGTCTCTGGCAGATGGGCTGGCAGCTTTCCGTGCTTTCCTGAAGACCGAGTTCAGCGAGGAGAACCTGGAGTTCTGGCTGGCCTGCGAGGACTTCAAGAAGACGCGCTCGGCGGCCAAGCTGGCCTCCAAGGCCCAGCGCATCTTCGAGGAGTTCATTGACGTGCAGGCCCCTCGGGAGGTGGGTAAGGGGTGCCACAGCGCGCCAGGGCACCCAGCAGTATTGGAATTTTATACCAATGTAGCCAGATGGAACGTGCCTGGGCTCGTCTGGCCCTTGCTGCTTGACCAAAGGCGGCAGCTGTGGTGGTTTCACCTCAGAGACACCTTTGGCTGGCTGGATGCTGCAGAGGGGCACTTGGGACAAGTCCAGGCATGCAGGAGATCAGGTTTACCTCTGGTAGAGTAGCTTCAAGGTGAGATGAAGGAAAGGAATCAGGTTCTGATGGAGGGTTTTGATCCAGAGTTGTATTCCTGGCCCACAGGCCTCTGAATGCAGCAACAGCTCCCAACACAACCACAGCGTGGTTGCTGAGTCTTTTAACCCCGGGGAGATGGGCAGGGAAGGGGTAGGGAGCCACCAGCCAGGTATGGGGGGAAGTCTCAGGGGACAAATGACACCTGGATGGCTCAATGTCCCTCAAGGGGTGTAAGGCATCTTTTGAACTTTGCCAATTCCTGGCACTCCAGAAGGGCCTCGAGTGAACTCTGCCAATCACTTGAGGCCCTTCTGGAATGCCAAGATTGAAGGACAGCACTGAGCAGGGCCAAGGGAGGGAAAGGGAGAGGTGATTGGCACACCTGGGGAAGGAACTGGGATAGCTGAGACAGGCTATTACATCTCACTGCCACACAGCAGGGCTGTCACCCCCAGCTGGGTGCCCTCCCTCTGTCCCTTCCCTCTCAGAGAGTGGCTAAGGATGGTGGCCATGCCATCCTGGCTGCTCCAGCTGCCTCTGCTCGCCCTGACTCATCCCTGATGAGGGCAATGATTTGATGGTACTGAATTAGTCACAGCCAGGGAGTTCACTGGCAACCTCAGCCTACATTTCCTAACCTCACTGAGCTCCCCAGGAGCATTTCACAGTGCTCCTGTCATTTCTATCAGCCTTCAGCAGGCTGTTGGGCTCTTCCCTGGCAGGACCCTTTGCCCAGAACCATCCCACCCATGAGTGGAACAAAGCCCTGAGAGAGCTGGGGGTGTTTATCCTGGAGAAAAGGAGACTCAGGGGTGACCTTATCACTCTACAACCCCCTGAAAAGTGCCTGTGCTCAGCTGGGGCTGGGCTCTTTCTCCAGGCAGCACTGACAGAACCAGAGCACACAGCCTCAAGCTGCACCAAGGGAAATACAGGTTGGATATTAGGAAGAAGTTTTTTACAGAAAGGGTGATAAAGTTCTGGAATGGCTGCCCAGGGAGGTGGTGCAGTCCCCATCCCTGGGTGTGTTTAACAAAGCCTGGATGTGGCACTGGGTGCCGGGTTGGGTTGGACTCGATGATCTTGGAGGTCTCTTCCAACCCTGTGATTCTGTGATTCTGTGAGTAACTTGTTGACTCCCAAGGGGGGAGAGCTTCTGACTAACTCCCCCCTCACCCAGACCTCCTGAGAGATGCAAACAATAACTCTGAGCTGAACAGAAAATGCAGTCACACCCTGGAGCCTGGGATTGTTAAATCCCCTTTCAAGCACTCCACAGGCTGATGGCACTGCCAGGTCCTGCCTGGTGACCACGCTGGGTTGTGTCACTGCAATCACAGCACAGCCAGAGGTGCTCTCACTGCCCCCAGCCTCTCCCACTCATGCATGGGTGCCTGTCAGGGACCCAAAAAGGGCTAATTTTCCTCATTTTCCTCCCTCTCCCAGCTGGGAAGGCCATTGCAAGGCCACTGGGAAGGACCCAGGTTCACACTGAGATGTGTGGGGATCTCAGTGCTCTCCTTGAGCATTTTCCAACAGTTACTCAGGAAGCCAAATGAGATTTTAAGGACTGGAAGGCTGATTTTTGATTAGAAATGGGAATGCAGGTAGGATGGGGGTCCTTCCTACAATTTGGTCCTGTGGTGATGTGCTAAGAAGCACTGTTACATAATTTTGGCATGTTTAAAATATGAAATTATAGAGCTAATCCATACTGCTGACATCCACATTGAGGCAGACAGCTTTACTTTCCAGGCTCCTTCCAGTTTGGACACTGAATTAATAACAACAAATAACATTTTTTTCAGCCTTTTTTTTTTTTTCTTCCAGACAATAACCCTAAAAAAATGCTGATTACCCTGCTAGGGAAGGAGAGCAGGAAAACTCCACTGGCTGCCTTTGCAAACAAATGGCAGTCATAACATTTATTTTTCCAAGCCTCTCCTCCCGATATTATAACATGAAGCTGCTATGGGAAAAATCAAACAGTTTATTTTAGGTCAGCCGAGTTTGGAGACATTTAATAAGAATGTACCAGTGGTTTAAACCCAGTTGAAAGTTTATTCACCCATTTATTAGGCATGTGGTGAAGAGGAGAGGGAGCAGGAGAGAGGTTGGGCTGAGTCAGGAGCTTTAGGTGATGTGCTGCCTAAGAGTCTGAATGAAAGTAATTTCAAAAGTGATTTTAGTAAAAGTAAAGTGATTTCAGTAAAAGTAAAATTATTTCAGAAGTGCTCAGATCACTATAAACCCAACTTTTCCAGGCTTGGGGCAGAACTCACAGCCCTGATTCACTGTGTGGGCTGTTCAGGCATGGGCAGGGGTAGGACCTTGGTTCTGCTGCCATGGCAGAGAGGGAATGAGCCATTTGAGGGAGGCTAGCTGGACACTCAGTGCCAAACTCTCTTCTGCTGCTTTCCCCAGGTGAACATAGACTTCCAGACACGGGAGCTGACCAGAAGAAATGTGCAGGAGCCCTCCCTGTCTTGCTTTGACCAAGCCCAGGGGAAGGTGCACAGCCTGATGGAGAAAGACTCGTACCCCAGGTTCCTGAGATCCAAAATTTACACAGACCTGCTGTCTCAGACCCAGAGGAGGCTCAGCTAGGACAGCCACGGGGCCCTCAGAAACCACGTGCTTCCCTCAACAGCCAAACCCCATCTCTAAATGTGAAACTTTCTTGGTGTTCAAAGCAGTGGGAGTGAGAAAAGAGGGACAAGGGACAGAGGAAGCTTCCAGAGAGTGACTCTTTGACTATTTGTGCTTTTTTTTTGTTAGCAGTAGCACCTTGCAGTTGTTCCCTCTGTCTAGCACAAACCCACAACCCTCTCAGGGTCACCTGTGGGCAAGGCAGGTTCCCTTTGAAATGGCTGGGTTGGTTTGTGTGTAAATAACACCTTTCCATCCTTCCACACATCTCTCCCTGTCTCTCACCTCTCCCTTGTGTTCAGGAGGGCCCCAAGGGCAGTGCTGACACTTGTGAAGCCGCAGCCAGCCCACCTCTCACCCTGCTGGGCTCTGGGACTGAGGGGAGGGAGACAAGAGACAAAGGCACAGGGTTCAATTTCTTTTTTGAAGTGGGAACCATCAGCAAACTCAGCTCTCACCCTGCTGGGGTCTGGGACTGAGGGGAGGGAGACAGGAGACAAAGAAACAGGATTCAATCTCTCTTTTGAAGTGGGAACCATCAGCAAACTCAGCTCACCTCCCCATTTATTTTGCACACCTTATGGCTTGGCTGCCACACTGTCACTGCCCCCTTTCCTTCAGGGATGGAGGCTCAGAGTATTCCCAAGGAGCTGAGTTTTCCTCATGAGGAAGTTAATCCCAAAAGCTCTCACTAGGCCTGGGCAGGCAAGTCTTCTAATGTGAATGATTGTTTTTTGTGGCTGTTATTTATTTGTGTGGTAGCTCAGTCTCAGCCATCATTCAGGCTCTGTTGTGCTGGGCACTGGACCAAAGCCCAGCACAAAGGGGCTCCTGGCTGCCACAGGCTTGGTGGCTCCTCAGGAAGGACCTGTTGGAACCCTCTGGCCCTTGCTGGGGTGTAGGAAAAGCACAAAGCCCGTCTGCCACAGCAGATGGCATTTTTCATGGGGTACCTGGCCAGTGGCAATGTGAAAAATCCCATTTCTATTTTTGTTATTTCCCTTTTACTGACTGTTCCCACTCTCTGAGTGGGTTCAGTGCCCTGCAAAGAGCTCCCCAGCACACAGACCCTGATGCAGGGTGCTTTTCCCCAGTGGGACACAAAGCATGGAGTGAGCAGGATGGGTGTTGGGGCATGCAGGGGGGTGTGAGGCGCTCTTTGGCCCTGTTCCCATAGCCTGGATGGCCCCTGCAAGAGAATTCTCTGTGCCCATGCACCTCCTCTGGGCTGGGCAATAATTCCTCCCATCTGATGGCCCCATTTCCATGGCACTGCTGCTCCAGCTTGGCAGATTCCTGCAATATTTTTGAGGGGAGAAGCAGACAGCCTGTCTGTGGATTTGAGCCGGCAGACCAGAGGTCTCTTTTCTTAATTTAATGAAGGCCTGGAAAGTGACCCCATGGATCTTTTTCTTCTCTCAGTCATCCCCAGACTAGAGGCTGTAAACCCCTGCTCCAGCCAAGGGTGGTGGGTGGCTTTGATACATCAGAAAGCTGCTGATATAGACTTTGTGTAATGTGGTGTAAATGAGGTACAATGAATTCTAAAGCCAAACAAAATGTTTTTGGAAGAAGATAAAAAAATATCTGTCTGGATATTAAAAATTACTGTCCATCAATTAAGTAGGAAACAGCTTTTTGAGGCTTTTTGCAAGGATGATGTGCAGGACAGTAGGACAAACAGGATCAAGACAGAGGTGGTAACCATGCTGGATTTATTTTGGAGGTGCATTCCTGTGGTCTCCAAGACACTGAAATCTAAATACATTACAGCTTTATGTTCAGTAGGGAAAGCTGTTTTTCAGTGTCTGGTTGGCCAGCAGGAGAATCCTCCAGGTTTTTGGAAGGCAAATCCCATCTCCAGTTAAATTTCTGTGAGGAATTTCCAGAAAGAGCAGCAGTGACCCAGCATTCCTGGCTGTCCCCTGTCCCTGCAGGGACACCTGAGGAGCTGGGGCTGGACTGTGGTGACAGAGATGACATTCTGCATTCACACCAGGCTCAGTGACACAGCTCCTGGGGCTGTTGAGGCCCCTCATGGGACACGAGACACAAAGCTCAGGGTCTGGACGTGGCACAGTTTGACACAAACTTTTTGCTGCTTGCTTGAAAGCGGGAGCAGTGAGGGACATCTGGAAAATGCTCCAGATTTGCCATGATTTCTCCAAGGGAGCCAGATCCTGCAGGAGCTCAGTGTCCCAAAGCTTTATGGCAAGCAAGGCAGAGTGAGACAGGTCTGGTGAACCTGAGCAATGCATGGAAGGAATCAGAGGTGGAAGCAAAGGACACAGAGCCACACATCAGTGCCTGTCCCTGGTGCTGCCTGGGCTGTAGGAAGGTGTCTTGGTTTGGAAAGCCAGGTGTCTGCTAAGGAAGGCGGGAGCCTCGCTTGAAATGGAAAATGTAAACCCCCTCCCTCTGAATTATTGTAATTTTAAATTAAGGGGCTCTCAGGCAAAGATATGGGAATAGGAATAACAATTCTTTAATAGGAAAATTAAAAATACAAATGTAATAGGTACAAAAAAAGAAAACAAACCACTGTCAGAGTCAGACCATGCCCTGGACCCCTGTGTGTCAGGGAGGTGTCCCAGCCCCATCCCATGGGGGCTCAGCCCTCCTGCAGTGCCAGCTGTGGCTCTGCTGCAGCAGGGATCCTGCACAAGGGGGGAGTTTTCCTCTGCAGCTCCAGGGCTGCTGGAGATGGGCCTGGGCTCCCTCTGGCAATGCAGGGCAGCAGAAAGCTGCTCCTCTGGGAATGCAGGGGGCAAAGGCTGCTGGGGTGTCCCAAAGCTCAGATTGGATCCAGGCAGGAATGCTTGGCTCCTCCCCTGGGCGGAGCATCTCCCCATGGGATGATGGGATTTGATCAGCCATGCAGGGACACTCACTGGCCCATGGACAGAAGATAATTGATAATTAATGGCCCCTGAACCGAAGAGATCTCCTGGAGGGAAGACTGGTTGTGGGAGAGATAAAGAAAACTGCCCAAAGAACAGAAGAGAACTGCCCCACCTCTGACAGATGGGAATTGAACACACACCCCCAGCCACATTTTCTAACCTCAGAAAGAAGGGGTCATGTCACCCCCACAGCCCCTGGGGTAGGACAAGAAGGACAAACCCAACCCTCCTGCAGTGACACACTCAGGGCTTGACCTGCAAGGGGGATGGAAATCTTCCCTCTCTGGCTGTGAGCAGAGGCTGGGGGAGCTCCCCTTTCCCAGAAACGCTGCCTGCCATCCCTGTGTGACACAGCACAGACTGGGATCCCCAGGGGCAAAGGCTGCTTTTGCAGTTTCCTCTCCCATCTGGGCCACCAAAAACTGATGCCTTGGAGTGGCTGCCTAGAACAGAGGCTAGAGGTTAAGAGAATAATATGGGTATTTATTGAAGGCCTTCAATAGGCATACCTTGGGCAGTCAAAACCTCCCCAAGGGGTTACACCTAGGATAGACAATGGTCATGAGTTTTTCAGACAATTATAAGTTTGTTCTTTTACATATCAGGAGTTAATCTTCAATTACAGCTTCAGGTAATGAAGTTATTTATCCCCAGTTCCCCCCCCCCCCCCCAATTCACTTTTCTTTATCCTTTTTGGGGCCTGAGGCTGTAGGGTGTCTTTGGATCACAGGCCCAGAGGGATTGCTTTGTCTGACCAAAATGTGGAGAGAGTTAACTACACTTTCCATTGAGTTTAGAGCTATGCACTAATACAGTCTAGGATTTGAAAAACACAAAAATTAAAATCTTATAAGGCATCAGCCTGTGGTCCCAGTTTTACTCCCTGCCACCAAAGAGCAGCTCAGCTTCCCAGCACTGTGGCATCAAACAAATGTTTCAAGTGGTGAAGGGAGGCCACCTTTTCTGGCCCTGTCTTCCTCCTTTCCACCCTGCTCTTGCCTGTACATGCAAAAAAACATCCCAGAGCTGCCCAGGATGTGAGAGTCAGCAGAAGGAGGCTGAAGCAGTCACTGCTTTTAAAGAGAAGGCACAAAGCCATGATAGCTCTCCAGACAGACCTTCTGAGTGGGCTTGAGTGCTGCTGACCTCTGGCCAACTGAGGTCAGCACCTTGGGGAGGGTCACAGAGACAGCCAGGCCAGGGGACACAGCAGGAACCAGAGGTTTGTGTCCAGGAATGTGAGTGGGACAATCCCCAGGCTATCCTGGTCCTGTCCAGTGTGACTCCATCTCTCCACAAGACCCTCCAGCAGTGTTGGTGCTGGAATTCCTTTCATTTTACATCAGAACTCAAAAAAAATTTCGAAGTGTCCCACACCCTGTAAATCCAAGCTCCCTTCTCTGCTCCATCCACCTGGGGAATTGCTTGGAGCAGGGCACACCTGGAGATGTCGTTGCTGCAGTGGTGACAGGAGCTGGAATCAGGCTGACTGATGTAGGAGAAGTGTTTTTCCCAGTAAATTGTTCCCTCCACTGGGAACAGCATCCTAGAACACAGAGTGGAGCAAAAGTATTGTCTGAGGCACTTGAGTCTGCCTCTTGTTATTTTTGTTGCTGCTCTTGCAGTTTGTCTCTCTGGAAGGAAAGCAGACTAGTTATTTAAAGTAAAATTCTATTTTTCTTAAACAAGAAATGGCACCAGCTGCTTCTTTTATGACAAATGCTGTTCTGAATTGAATCAAAATAAGCAGCTTGTAGCTCTACCCCTTAAACCAGGGGCTGATCAAGGAAATCATGACTGAGCCAAAGCTTTGGAAAGAGCTGAGTGGTGACTAATTCCCACCAAGGGCAAATATCCTATCCTTGATTCATCTCTTCCTGCTGTGAAAAGGATACTCACAACCTACAAACCCATTTCCCCTCTCCACAAGCACACACCTCCAAAATGTTCCTCCTGTTTGGAGCAATGTTAAAATGTGCCATCGCATGAAGAGAGGGGGAAAAGATTGGTTCACTCAGTTCTTTTTATTCTGTTTGCTGGCCCATACCCAGTCAGCTCCCAGGTAGATTGATGGCAGAAGGGAAAAAGAGTTTACAAATTTCATTTTCTATGAGCTTCAGGTGGTGTTAACTGCAGGGTCAGATGCAGAACTCGAATCTGTCTGAAGTTTCTCCTGCTTTGGTCCATCAGCCAGGCTTGGGATGATTTCCACCACTTTTAGTGGACTCATTAATGCACCTTTAGTCCATGCTGGGAGGGTGTGAAGGGCAAAGGGGAGGGGGAAATTGCTGTGTGTGTCTGGGGGTGTGGGTGGATGAGAGTGCATGTGACTTCATCTGTATCTTATTTAGTGTCCTCTACTACAGAAGCTTTTCTGAGACATAGATGTGCATGTTAAAATAGGAGAATTAGGCACAAATGACATAAACAGAGACCTTTAGCCAGTGTTGTGTTTGCCTCGTGTGTAAGTCCAAGTAGTAGTAGGAGATGTAAAACTCTGCTAGGTTCCCAGTTACCCCTAAGAGCACATGTATCAAACTGAACTGAATGTTCACTGATGATAGACACAAAACCAAAATGTTTACAGCATTCAGAGCAATAGCAAAGCATACCTCATGCCAGTCCTGGAGTGCCTCTCACCTGTCAGTGCAAGCTCTCCCCTCCCTGGGGGCCTCTGGCTTCTTCTCCCTCCAAACTCTTCTCTCCTTCTCTCTCCTGTCCTGGTTGTCTTCCCTCCTCCTGCTCCTCCAAGCACTCCAAACCTTCCTGTCCACCAGCACTGTTTGTCCTCATCTGTCTGAGCCTGGGACTACCCTAACCTCCCCCTGCTTGCCTCTCCTCCATGCCCATCCCTCCCTCCTCTCTTCTTTGCCTTTTCCTTCCCCAGGCACTCATCTCTGGTCATGCCATCTCCCCCCTACATGCCTCCTACTGCCACTGTAAAGCTCCTAGGAGCTCTTCCCTGCCCATTATATAAGAACAAAACGTTTCACATAATTTTCTGCATTATCGTCCATCCCTGGGGCTGCTGCAGTCATCTCCTTCCTTGGTGCTGTGCTCTCTCTGGCATCGTAGCATTATATCCCAGAACTGGAATTAAAGTTCATTTTGCTGCTAGACCAGAATGCTTCTGTCTACCACGCACCCCTTGGGCTTTGCAGAGAGTCATCTTGTCCCCAAGTCTTTTGTCTTCCTTGTTTTTCTCCTCCTTCCATGCAGGCTGCACGTGCAGTGCTTGTGGCAGGGGCTGGCTGGGGTGGAGGGTGTCCGTGCTGAGGTCAATCACAGCTGGTCACCCCCGTGGCTCTCTGGTTTATAAAAGTAGTCTCAATAAAGGTGTGTGGGTTGTATTTGCTCAGCAAACTCAGTCACTGTGCTCTGTGCCTCCTGCAGGAGGATGTGTGTCTAATCTGAGGCTGCGGTGAACTCAGCGCGAGTTCAGTGAGCCGAGGCCGTGGGAGGGAGGTGGCACAGGGGGACGAGATTGTTACCAAAAACATCCAACACTCCTGGCAAAAAGGCACAGGAGAAAAGGCAGTGCCTGCTTCTGGAGGCACCAGGGAGCTCTGGGGACCAGCTGTGCTGTGAATTGTTTGTCTGAAGCAGCCCCACAGCTCCCAGTTTGCCTCACGTGCTGCATGCCCCAGGCTGGCTCTAAAGCATGATGGATGAGAAGCTGCTCAGCTTTGCATTTCCAGTGTGGGTAACAGCTTTATCCTAAGAGAAATGTCTTCATGTTGCTCTATCAGTGCCTGCAGCCACCAGCTGAAAAGCAGGGAGGGGAAGGAGGCACCTTCTGCTTTGTTTACTCCTGCAGACCTCTGCAGGAACTCCTGGCAATGAAGAGAGCAGGGTATGAGCACACCCTGGGGTAGATCCCCCTTCTTTAAGAGCCACCACTGAAGATGTCATCTCCTCATAACCTCTCCCCCAACTCCTCTGTGAGTTGCCCAAATCAGAGCTCAGATTTGTCCTTAAGCTCTTTAGCACCTCCACCTTGGTGGGACAGCAGTGTCCCCTTGAGGACCTGACTACAAACTCCACGCCCAGCAAGGCTGCTTAAAATAACAAAGATACCTGGTTCTTCTGCAAATCAGCTCGTGGGTGGCTCAGAAGAGACTGAGGATGGCTCTGCTGCACTCAGTGAACTCAGAAGTGAGCCACCAGGCAGAAAGAACAGCTCAAAAGTGCTTCCCTGGGCAATGCTTTTATTTTCAGGAGATCCTGCTGCTGCAGCTGCCACCCCTGCAGTGCTGCTGGTGTTGGGGCAGGCCAGGCAGGCTGTTCAGTCTGACCCCTTCCTGCTCAAGGAGAGGCATGGGCTCAGCTCCCCGGGTCCCCCTGCATTAGCTGCTTGTTTGCTAGGCTCCCCTTGCTCCCTGGGAGGCTGGAGAAGCTCCTCAGCCACGCCACAAATCCCCGCCGAGCCGTGTCACCACGCTGTGCAGTGTTACACCCCTGCTGTATAGACACCCTGAGGATGTAATAAACAGCCTGAGACTATTTGCTCTCTGCCTGAGTGTCTGAAAAGCTGCAATCCTGGGCATGGAGGGGTGAATCCCAGCCAAATTGCTGAGGAGGAAGAGGAGGGAAGAAACTGGTGCAGACATGCTGGATGGGGCAGCAGAGTGAGGATGGGTTGGCTCCAAGCTGTGGATGCCTCAGTAGAAGCAATTTAGAACCAGGCTCCCCAGAGGTCCAGTTTGGGGAAATGAGTCTGAAAAGAGTCAGTAGGACCTGCAAGGAAGGAAAATCCCAGGAGCCTTCCAGCAGCACATTGCTGTCCTTCTCTGAGTACACCTCCCTGCTGCTGCCAGTGATGGACTCCCTGCCCCAAATCCCAAAACCAGCATGGACAGAGGTGGGAACAAGTGCTGAGCCTGCTCCCTGCACCAGGAGCAGCAGTGGGGGACACACAAGCTCCTGGGAAAGGCAGGAGTGTGGATGGATGGATGGATGGATGGATGGATGGATGGATGGATGGATGGATGGAGCTCGGTGAGGTCACAAAGAGCAAACAGCAAATGAAGAGCTTTCTCCAGACCAGAAAAAGCCACTCTGTGCTCCAGCAGGGAGCTCACACCTGGGCCTCAACTTGCTCCATCCTGGTGGGATAAACCAGGGTGGGATGAGCAGGAGTAGGAGGAGAGTCACCAGTCATGGGCCAGTCTGGGGAGTCTGGGATTGCTGGGGAAGGCTCAGGCAGCAGCTGAGAGCAATCCTGGGCAGCAAGCGGGGAAGGGGAAGCATTAGCAGGAGCAGGGAGCAGGGCACTTGAGGTGAGGTTAGGTCTTAGTGGGAAATTGCATGGTGAGAGATTGGCTTGGTTTGAAAAGACAGGTGTCTGCTAAGGAAGGCAGGAGCCTCCCCTGAAATGGAAAATGTAAACCCCCTCCCTCTGAATTATTGTATTTTTTAAATTAAGGGGCTCTCAGGCAAAGATATGGGAATAGGAATAGCAGTTATTTATCAGGAAAAATAAAAATACAAATGCAATAATACAAAAAAAATTTAAAATTTAAAAAAGAAAACAAACCACTGTCAGAGTGAGAGCAGTCCCTGCCCCCTGTGTGCCAGGGTGGTGTCCCAGCCCCATCCCATGGGGGCTCAGCCCTCCTGCAGTGCCAGCTGTGGCTCTGCTGCAGCAGGGATCCTGCACAAGGGGGGAGTTTTCCTCTGCAGCTCCAGGGCTGCTGCAGATGGGCCTGGGCTCCCTCTGGCAATGCAGGGCAGCAGAAAGCTGCTCCTCTGGGAATGCAGGGGGCAAAGGCTGCTGGGGTGTCCCAAACCTCAGATTGGATCCAGGCAGGAATGCTTGGCTCCTCCCCTGGACGGAGCATCTCCCCATGGGATGATGGGATTTGATCAGCCATGCAGGGACACTCACTGGCCATGGACAGAAGATAATTGATAATTAATGGGCCATGAACCGAAGAGATCTCCTGGAGGGAAGACTGGTTGTGGGAGAGATAAAGAAAACTGCCCAAAGAACAGAAGAGAACTGCCCCACCTCTGACAGATGGCAAATAAATACACACCCCCAAGCCATATCTTACAACCCAGGACAGAGATTTACTGCAGGAACCGTGTGGGGCTTCAGTGAGGAAGGGCTGAGCACCTCCTGAGCAGGTCTGGCAGCAGGAAGAGCAGTGACCTGGATCTCAGCTGCTCCTGGGCACACCGAGGGCTCCCACCCTGCCTGGTGCCCCTCTCTCTCCCTGTGAAAGGTGAGTGTTTGCTCTGTGCTCTGCACGCACACGTGTTGCATTTAAAACCAAACATTAAATTTTCCTCTGGAAATGGGTCTAGTGGAATATATCAGTCCCTCTGGCTTCTTTCTATCCCCCTTTTATTTTTGCCCCTAAATATTTTCTTCTGCTGTTTTTCCTTTTCATCTGCTGCTTCTTCCCTCAGCCTGTCGCCGAGCCAAACCCATCTGAATGCATCCAAGGAGGGATCGGCCATTAGTGCTGCTCTGTCTCTCCTCTTAGTTAGGATATATTTAGCCATCATCTTTTAGCTTTTTTTTTGCTGGCTGTTCAGTGGCTTTAAAAAGCAGGTGCTGGGAACGGAAAGAGAAGATTAAAAGTACCTGCTGTCAGCTACCTCTCCTTGTGCAGCTGTGCAAAGCGAGCACGTGGGCAGAGTGGGTAACAGCTGCCCCTTGAAAACCTCATTTGTAATTCTAATTATTCTTTTTTATTGTTATTATTATTTCAATAATCTCTTTCTGCACTGCTACAAATTTCCAGAGCAGCTATTTCCTCCCGTGCCTCATGTGAATGTGGAGTGTTGGGAATCCATCAAACTCCCCGTGGGTGAGGGTGAGGGATCCTTCATGGGCAGCTGGGATATCCTGGATGGGCTGGGCAGGCCCAGGGGGAGCCAGGCTCACCTGCAGCCACATGGACAAGGTGTCTCACAGCCACCCCTGACTGTCCCTGTCCCACAAGCTGTGCCCATGGCCCAGCCCCAGCTGCAATGTGGCTACTCAGGGGCAATTTGCAAATTCTTGGCTGCTGTCTCAGCCTTGGCAGATTCCCTGCTCCTCCCTGGCACCATCAGAGAATTTCTCAGGTTGGGAAAGATCTCTAAGATTATCAGGTCTAAGCCAAGCCCATCACCAAACTCCATCCCATCCCCATCTCCTTGGCTTACTTCCCTCCTTAAACACATCCAGAGCTCATCAACAGCTTGCAGGTGGAGGAAGGGGCTATGCAACATGAGCAGGGCCTTTAAACATCCCATTTCTGCTCCTTTGCAGTCAGCACCTCCCTGATTTCATGGCAGGAGTGCCTCCAGGTTTCACCATCCCTGAGAAGAGATGGCCAAAGAAGAAAGGAGAAACTGGAGACAGATTCCTTGGGGAGCCTGCCTGCAGTGAGACCCCAAAACAGCACAGCTCAGCCTGGCTCTTCCCCTTTTCCTTCTCCCTGCCTCCCCTTCCAAAAATCTTTCTGCATCTTCCCCTTACTCCACTTGAACAGTACAAAACCAAAAAAATACCCCTGCCAGAAACTCTCCTCAGAGCTTGGCTGTGCACTGGGGCACATACACAGGGCACTTTGCACCCTGTCACCAAATCCTTGTTTTCCCATTCCTCACCCCATTTCTGAGGCTGAAAACTTTAGTTTTATGTTTTCCAAAATTGCTAGCATTTTGCAAATAACCCAGAAACACCAATCCCTGGGGCTGATGGGTGTTTGTGTTTTGCTGCTGAGGATAAAGCCAGCCAGTGGTTGTACCCCCTCAAATTTTGCCAAAGGCTGGCTGTGGGTGTCTTCTCAGCCCAGCCAACCTCCCAACCCTGTCACCAAACCCTTGTTTTCCCAATTCCCCACACCATTTCTGTAGTTTGGGGATGAAAATTTTGGTTTAGTGTTTTCCAAAGTTGCTGGCATTTTGCAAACACTAACCCAGAAATGCCAGCAGGAATCACTGGGGCTGATGGAGTGTGTATTTTGCTGCTGGGGCTGGACCCCCCCAAATTCTGGCAAAGGGTGGCTGTGGGTGCCTTCTCAGCCCAGCCAACTTCCCAGCCCTGTCACCAAACCCTTGTTTTGCCATTTCCCACCCCATTTCTGGGGTTGAGACCTTTGGTTTTTGTATTTTCCAAAGTTGCCGGCATTTTGCAAATAACCCAGAAACACCAGTCCCTGGGGCTGATGGGGCGTTTGTGTTTTGCTGCTGGGGTGGCTGTACCCCCCAAAATGCTGCCTGTGGATGCCTTCTCAGCCCAACCTGGACCTTCCTGGTGCAGATGAAACCCGACCCTATGGCTGGGAGGTGGATTGATGCTGGCAGGGCTCTGGGAAGGCAGCCTGGCCCCAGGCGTTGCGACACAGAAGAGTTTTTTGTATTCCAAAACAAGAGCTGATAATGGAGGGCACGGGGCCGGAGCCGCGGGAGGCTGCTAAGCTAAATGAGACAGGAAGCACGTAATTCAATTAGATACAGAGCAGCATGAAGACATCTGAGTACACACGCGGGCTCAGAGGCTGTTGCATAACCCTGGGAAGGGCTGTGCAATATGAAATATCTCACCTAGAGCAGCCCATGCCCATCCTGGAGCAGCCCCATGGCTTGGGAGAGGCAGAAAAGCTGCTCCAGGGAGCACAGGGGTCAGCTGGTGGCTGTGGCACAGTGGGCTCAGGGGCTGTCCCAGCCTTGGTGAGGGGGATTTTGCTGGAACAGCCCAATCCTGCTCCCAATCCAGGGCTCAGAGCTGCTCACGTGGATCTGGCACTGCCCAGTCTTGGGTTGCTGTTGATATTTGCTGCCCTGAGATGTGCAGGATGTCTCTGCTTCAGCCCATGCAACTGAAGAAGGAGTTTGGACTCTTCACTATTGGGTCTAGAGGTTGTTTATTAATTCTTACCTGTAAAATTTTCTTTCTGCCCAGTCGAGATCTGCTCAGCAGGGCAGCCACAGGCACTCTGTGTTGTCCTTTTATACTGCAAACTATGTATAACATATTTACAGTTAATTCTCAACACCTATCACCTATGTTAGACAGTGCACTTCTACTCCAAACCAATCCCAAAGTGCCAACATCACACCAGAAAATGAAGAACAAGAAGAAGAAGGAGAAAGGCTGGACACACCCAGATTCCTCCATCTTGTCCCCATAACCCCCATACCAAAAATCCTGAAATCTGCATTTTCACCCTGTGATCATTTTGTTATTACACTATTCAGACCTGTGTGACTTTCAGGTCCTCATACAAAGCTGGTAACTTGCTCCAAGGGTCAAAATCAAATCCCCAGGTGCTCTGGGCAGCATGCCAGGGTCTCTGAGCCCCCTGGTGGGGTCCTCAGCAACTCTGGACACCCAGAGGGATGCACTGAGCTCCAACAGCCCTGAGCCCCAGAGCCAGCTCTGCAACAGCAAACACCTTTGTGCCTGTTGTGGTGCCCAAAAAGAAACACCTTTAACCGACCCCTTCCCTAAGCGCTCTCTCTCTCACCATGGGCAGCTTCACTGTCACCTTGGCCTCACCTGA